CCCCCCCCCCCCGTCAGGAGGATGAACGGCTCTCTTTTAACCCCGCCCAGCCCGCGGGCGGCAAACTCCTCTCCGTTACCCCCCTCACCCTCCCCATCTCCATCTCCTCCATCTCCCTCTATGCTGCCCCTGTCCCCCCGGCCACCCCCTCTCCCACCTCTCGTGAGCCCTCCACCCCAGGCCCACCCCTCCTCCCTCTCGGACACCCCCACTCCGTCCCCCTCGCCTTGCCTGAGCTGGACCGAATTCTGTGAGCTTCATGCACGTGTTGCAGCCGGTGACTTTGCCCGTCACTTTCGGGCTTTTCTCCAGGAGAATCCCCACTACTCCCCAGACTCAGCAGCCGCCTTCTGCCGCCGCTTCACCGACCGCTTTGTTCGTCACTTCCAGAGCGAATTGGAGGGGGCGCTCCTGCCCAGTTGTGCGTCTGGGAGGGACGAAACGATGAGCTGGGCCCCGCAGTCAGATGCGACTTCGCTGGAAGAGGAGGCGGTCTCGCCCCTCTCAGCAACGGGGGGTGTGGTCCTCCCGTGCCCCCCAACCAACCTGATGCGGGCTTTATCCAAGCCTGCGCCGACGAGGCTGGTGTTGGAGAACCGCACCGGGGACAGGTTTCAAGATTCCTACGCCCACGGCCAAGTCCTGCCGCCTTCGTCCTCTTCATCGTGCTGCTCCTCAGTGGGAGGGAACAACGGCAGGCGCGAGGAGAGGGGGGGCATGATCGCCCCTGGGAATGGGGAAGCACCCGTTGAAGAAGAGGAGGACAGCTGGCTCGGAGTGTCGTCTGTTGGAGAGGATGTTGATACAGAAGAGCGGGACGCCGAGTCTACAGAGGTGGATAATGCTGACCCCTCCCACACTTCTCAGATTCCACCTTCCCCTTCCTCCGTCACTCCTCCCCCTGACTCCAAAGGTAACGGCACGCCCAACTCCTCCAAAAACAAACTGAAAAAGCGTTTTTCATTGCGGAGTGTGGGTCGTAGTGTTCGGGGGAGCGTCCGCGGCATCCTGCACTGGAGAAGCTCCTCCAGTGACTCGGCCCAGAGCCAGCTGCCCTCCAGCTACAGCTACACTATGGGTGTGCAGGACGCTACTTTGGTTTCAACCTCCAAGAGGAACTCTGGTACGCAGCCCCCCACACCCACCTCTTCCATGCCAGTCTCTCTGTCCATGCCTCTTTCCCTCCCCCATTCCTCTTCCTCCTCTCTGCCTCCCTCATCTTCAAGCAGCGCCACCTCTCTGTCTCTGTCTGAGGCTGCTCGAGATCGGCGGCGGAGCAACGGGGAAGGAGGCGAGAAGGAGAAGTGGAGTCATCGGCTGGAGAAACTCAGACTGTCCCGATCCCCTCCTCCTGTCCTCACCTCCACCACTTCCGGCGCTCACTCCACCTCCTCCACGCTGCCTCCGAGCAGCGCCGCTGCCGCCGCCATGGGGCCGCCAAGGAGGGTGGGCCGACTGGTGCGGGAGGGAGGGGTGAGCGTCAGCTCGTCCAGCGACGAGTTGAGTGGCAGCCACGGCTTCTCTGGCTTCTCATTCGGTTTGCTGCATCACGGTACGGACAACAACAACGCTGCCTCAGCTTCATCTGCAGCGGCTCAGACTGGTCCGGTGCAGCCTCTGGCCAGCGGAGGGAACGTGCCCTGGAGAGGAGGACGCTGGCACAAGTGTCGTCTGGTCCTCAGAGAGCGGGACAGAGAAGGCGGTGAGCGGGGAGAGGAGTACTACCTGGAATTCTTCATTCCACCTAAAGTAAGTGTTTCCCTCCGGTGTCCCAGCAGAAACAAGAACAGAAGTAACTTTAAAAGATGAGATAATGTTAAAACACAAAATAAACCTTGAATCTGACGTCAGAAACTTTATTATCAGCAGCATTAAGATCACAGGTGAAATTATTGTCTCTCAATGTTAAGTTACAGATTTTCAAAGGATGACTTCAGTCCTTCCTGTGTAACGTACTCCAGCTCTGGTTTTGATAGCGAAGCGTTAATCTGCAGTTATTTATTTTGCTTGGTTTGTCTCCGCAGTCGTCGAAGCCTCGACTGACGGTGCCGTGCTGCTCGATCGTGGATGTGAGGAGCACCACAGCGCTGGAGGTCCCCGACAAGGAGAACACGTTTCTGCTGCAGGTAATCACATCTCTCCTCACTGACATAATAATCTGTAGAGACTCTGAGAGACTCTTTTTTTGATATTCTTTATTTATGTTTTTGTTCTGCAACACTTCCCTGAGTGTAAATCTACGTTCACACCTGTTTATTTCTCCTGCTGTTGCTATAGCGCCCCCTAACTGGGTGAGAGAGGTTGTTGTTTGCAGCCTATTTAAATGGATCAAAAATAACAAACATAATAGTTTAATATTCATTGTTTTTGCAGCAGAAAGTCAAGACTTCAAATGATAAGACACAGTGGAGCCACAGAGTGTGGGGGGGGGCAGAGTTCATGTTTCTATATTTAGAATCTTTAGGATCAATATGTTTTATGTGTTAATTGATTAAAAACATGTCCGATGTCTGTAATTCCATTGTTAACTGTTTCAGTACTTATCATTATCATAGTTTTTTAACTCACTGAGGATGTACAGAGTTTAGAGATACGGAGATTCTCCAGGAAGTGACATCAGAAGAAGAAAAAATACCAGTTTAGAAACTGAAGGAACATTTTCTACTGCAGAGGTCAAAGAGTGAGAATCTCAATTTAACCACCGTTAGTGAAGAAAGGAGGAGTGAGTGTAATAAAAAGCTCTGACCTGAACCTGTGTCCTGATGTTGTTCTCCTCGTTTGACTTCCTCTCAGCTGGAAGCGTCGGCGCAGTATGTGATTGAGACTCGAGACGCCGTTCAGATGAGAGCCTGGCTGAGCGACATCAGGAACGGCATCTGTATCAGGTAACGATCGGCAGCTAGAGGGCGACACGAGTCCGATCGCACCCGGCGGCCTGAAGCTGCTGTGCTTTCGCTGTGTCTGGGTAGTAACTTCCTTCTGTCCCCCCACAGTGAGCAGGACGATGCTGAGGGTGTGTGTGTTGGCCCGTTAGACATCAGCGGAACTCCTGAGATTGTCGACCGTCTTTCACAAGGTGTGTTTGTGACACGATGGCTGCTCTGGTTTGCACCTCCTGGTATCAACCCGTTAATAACAACACTCATATTTCTTGTTGTGTCTGTTTTTCGCGTCAGTGTGTTACGGAGGCTCGTCACCTCTGATGGATCCTCTCCCACCGGAGCTGCCTCCTCGAGCCCCTCTAGACGAACCGGACGGCCGGATTCTTGGTGGAGGCGGGGCTAGTCTTGGCACACCATTTGCAGAGACGCCTGATGCCACAGGTGAGGAGCATCCAAAACTGATTTCACTTTTGAACCGGGGGGGGGTTAGCTGAAGTAGCCGCTCCTCATTTCAAAGTGTTGATGTAGCTGTAGCTCAGTATGAAACTTCTGGATGCTGTGAAAAGAAAGAAATCAAAAATGTATGAATTAAAATGTCTCCTCCACTCACCCAGGGTCCTTCCTGTTCTCTGAGGTGACGTCCTCTGAGGCCGTGGAGCACCCTCTCAGCGAGTGTCAGTGGTTTCACGGCACCCTCTCCCGCCTCAAAGCTGCTCAGCTGGTGTTGGCCGGAGGCCCGGCGAGCCACGGCGTCTTTCTGGTTCGCCAGAGCGAGACGCGGCGCGGTGAATATGTCCTCACCTTTAACTTCCAGGGCAAAGCCAAGGTGAGTCCTGGAGTGAAGACGGAAAATAAAGTGATGTAATCCTGGAAGAGGAAACAGCAGCGTCCAGTCAGAACAACACACAACACTATATTCCACCAGTTACCAACGTGTTGTTCAATCGTCTTGAATAATCAAATACAACACATCTTATTTTGTAGCCTCCATGTTGTTCACACACAACACACACATATCAGATGACAGAATTTCTTAACTCCCACAAATTGGACCGTGTGACGAGCATGTGAACCATCAGTCCTGATTACAGAGGACAATGTTGGACGTCAGATTGACTCGTGTTAAATGTTGTGACTTTTCATCACTGAGTCCGTTCCTGTCTTTGCTCTCGTCCCTCCAGCACCTCCGTCTGTCCCTGAATGAGGACGGTCAGTGTCGGGTGCAGCACCTCTGGTTCCAGTCCATCTTCGACATGTTGGAGCACTTCCGGGTGCATCCGATCCCTCTGGAGTCTGGCGGCGCCTCGGACGTCACGCTCATCAGCTTCGTGGGTGCCACCGCCGTTCGCCAGCCAGGTACGAGTCCCCCCGACTCTCCATGTTTACAAATACACAGTCATCATAACACGACGGGTCCAGACCGTGCTCTCACTGGACGTCCTCACATGCACAACAACACTGAGAGGTAAACTCATGCATCACTTCCGTCTGAGGTGTGTCTGTCCCGTCAGTGTTTTATTGTCTCTCCTCTATTGTTGCTGCACTAGTTCACCTACAGGTACTAATGGAGTCACCTGAACACTGGTATCCAGCAGTTTAAAACTGTTGCTATGGTAACGCCTGGTAACTCTGGGTATTTCCAAAGTGGAATTTTTCCACCTTTCAAATCTGCTGATGTGTTTCGTGGTTTAGACATTTAATGTGAATCTGTGGCAGCTCAGGTTTCCATTCAATCCTATGATTCTTTAATAATTCTTTGATAAGTGATGCTTCAAAGAATTTCATTTCTATCCATGATTTCTTATCAATGTGTGACTGTGTGCGTCTCGAGCTGAACACGGTGTGCACGTGTTCAAATACGTGTCTCAACCAACCGACACAGAGTAGACGTCAGTGCTGTTCAGGTCCTAATAACTTCTGATTAGTGTCAGTGTTTATTGTTAAAGTGTAAAGTGAGCACAGTTCAGGAGAGAGGAAGAGACACAGAGACAGAGACTCTGGTAAAAGACGACCAGACCTTTAATGTGCGTCTGTCTTGAAGCAGCAGTGGTCATGATTACGCAGCCGTGGGAAATCCTCCCTCATGTGTCACGTCATGCTCTTCATCTCTTCACCACTGATTTAAATCAGGTTGTGATATAATCCCAGATATTAAACTACATGTCTGTTTCTCTAAAACTGTTTTCAGACATGAACTCAGGAAAATGTCGGTAAAATATTGTCTGTATATGTTGTGTAGTCATGTTGTGTAGTCTGTGTTTGTGCAGCAGACAGAAGTCGTCAGTTCTCATCACTTTTTAAAATGTATTCAAATAGAAACAAACCACAGATATTTTGCCAACGACTTCCTCTCGGCCATGTTACAGCCGCCGCAGAGTTTTCCATCTGCCCTCTGTGTCCCATTGTTTTCTGACCTCTCTGTTGTTGTTTGTTGTATCCGTTGGCTCATCCCCTTGCAGGCCGGGACAGGGCAGGCAGTCGGCCTACAGTCTGTGACGTCATCACCACGCGCCATCCTGACTCTCCATCAACCCCCATCTCTGACTGTGTGTAAGTGAGACCGGACTCGGCTGAGAGAGGAAGAGTGTACGAGAGAGAGAGAGAGAGAGAGAGAGAGAGAGTGTGTGACTGGAGTGGTTTGTTTTTCCTCATCAGAGTTCAAAGATCATCACAGGCACAGAAATCTGCTTAGTGATCCGCTCCAGTAGGAACAGATCTAGAGCTCGTCGTCACCTCTGCTTGTTTAACCTGAAGTTCAACAATGTGTTTGTTTGATATCTATTAATTTCTCCTGGTGTTAATTTACATCATTTGTAGAGAAACAAGTGGTTAAAACACAGACGGACACATAAACAATAGAGATAAAACAACAATAATAACCCCCCCCCCTCTCCTCCCCATTTGTCTCTGCTCACCCTGCGGGTGAGACGTCGTCCACCGAGACTCTGGTTCTTTCCTCCAGTTAATGAGGAGTTTCTCTCTCCACAGCAAAGAGCTTCTCATCGTGTGTTAGTTCAGAGTAAATTCGTGCGCGTGTGTGTGTGTGCGAGTGTGTGTGTGTGTGTGCACGCGAGTGTGTGTGTGTGCTTGCGAGTGTGTGTGTGTGTGTTAGTGCGAGTGTGTGTGTCGGACGCCTCCATGACTCCGTGGACTCCATGACCACAGACTCCTCCCACCTAACAGTCCACTCACTGTCTTTTTCTCTCCTCTCACTCTTCCTCCCTCACTTCACTTCTCACACTTTGTCACTTATTTCCTCCTCCTTCCTCTTTCTCCCTTTGCTTATACTTTTCTTTCTCCCCTCCCCTCTTCTTTCTTCTCACCTTCTCTCCTCTGTTTCTTCTTCATGCAGACTTGACCAGCAGACCCCGTAGCCCTCCTCAGCCTCCTCCCCTGCCACCGGGCCGGCCGCCACCACCGACTCCGCCCCAGGACAGAGGAAATGAGACGGAGCTGGTAGGAGGAGCGGGAGGAGGAGCGGGAGGAGCAACAGCGACTGTGGTGACAATGGCAACGACAGGAGGAGGAGGAGGAAGTGGAGGCAGCGGAGGTGGAAGTGGAGGAGGAGTGGAGGACTGGGAGGAGAGGGACAGGGACACTCCTCTCCGCCAGCTGGAAGCTGTGGAGGGAGAAGAGAGGGACGGAGCGAGGGCACCGAGAGCCATCGATAACCAGTACTCCTTCTTCTGATGAAGGGAAGGCCAGGAGGAGGAGGAAGAGGAGTGTGTGTGTGTTTGAGTATCGACCGAGTGTGTGAGTGAGTGAATGTGAGAATGGATGAGGCGGTGAACATCATAGCCATTCATAACCAGTATTTTTATTTCGTTAGCAAGCTGGAGGACAAGAGGAGGAGGAGTAAACTAACACTATAAGACAGAGAGAGGGAGAGAGACGGGTGAGAGCAGCTTTACAACACTAACTTCGTGGTACATTTCTTTTTTTATTTAGTTTTGTCGGTACGCCTCGCAGCAGCGTCTGCTCTGTCTCATGTGCACGTGGACAGAAGTGTCAGTTCATCACTGTTGTTCTACAGAGACACGTTCGCCAGAGAAAACATGGAACACAACAAACACTACATGATACTCACATAAGGGAGGAAGTGGAGAATTCCAAAAATCTTTCTGATTGGATGCAGAAGAATCATCAAACTGTGTGAAGAGTTTTACGGGAAGAGAAGAGACAGATTTAGATTCTGAAAACCGACAATAAATCCATTATTTAATACAAGAAATTGGTGATTTTCAGTTTAAGTAAAAACGTTTATCATTAATAACTGCACATGACAGAGAAACATCTGTAATTGATTTCTCAATCAACAGAAATCTAATCACAACCAAACATTTGTTGGATGCAGCTTCTCAAATGTGAGAATTTGCTGCTTTTCTTTGTTTCAGTTTCTATAAAGTTGTTTGTTTAAAAGAAGGTTTATCTTAAAACTATAATATAAAAATAATCATAAGCTGCAGCCATTCTTTTTTCTTGTGGAGTGTTTTATAGGAACAAGAATGTAGGGAGACTAATGTGTAATAATTAAAGCTCGAGCACTGACAAGGACCCTTTTGCTTTTTAGTTTGAAAACTGCAGGTTGCGTTAAAGTTAAGGATTGTTAATGGAGTTTGGTGCGATGACGCCTGAACTCAAAGTGTAAAAACATGTTGGTTCGAGTGGCACATGAACCAGAGCAGACAGGAAACGTTTACCTCAGCATGGCACTCTCTCTCTCTCACACACACACACACACACACACACACACAC